GACGAAATTTAACTTTTTTCCAAGATGCAAGTTGTTTTCACTCCCTGGACAGATGAAATTAAAAAAATAAACTCAGTGTGGGTTGAAAATTTGTTTTTAACGCATTTTTCTACTCAGAAACATATTGGGAAAGTTTATTTATGATTAAATTCTTGAAAACACTTAGTGCAAAATTTGGTCGAGAGCCTCAAAACGGGACTATCTCTAAATGACTCTTCAAATATTTCTTAATTCACTAATCAAAGTGTTGTTCTTGTGAAAATACGTGTTGATATAAAAAACGGCACAACCGTCCAATGTAGTCTGTAGTAGTCTGAATTAGGTGCCTATCAATATTCCACTAGAAATTGCATTTGTTTGCTAATCCTGTTCGTAAAAGCATATTCGTTGAACGATTAGCGTCTATTGATTCAGAAAATATGAGCAGTTTTGAAATCATGCGAATACGTTTCCATCTCCCTCCAATTTGATACTGGGTGATTTATGGGGGGAAAGGTTAGCACAATAAAATAAAAAAAATAAAATATTTTAAAATCTAACCGAGAGCCTCAAAAGGTTACGCGAAAGATGCAATTTTGTAAATATTTTTAGCCTGTGAACGTTCTCATACCTTACTTGCCTTCGAAACAATGCAATGGATTAACAATGTTTTGGTTAGCAAAAAAAAAACGAGGCAAAAACGCAAATAAAACGCTCAAAAATCAAATTACTGTATTTACTCGCCCCAAGTCTCTTTCTCTTAAACCGCGCAAAATGTAGCGCATGCGCAGACAAATTTCCCACCTGTTGCCATGTAAAACATCGCGTAACCTGTTGACGCTGTACAGGAATATGCGGATTCGCTTATTTCGCCGGACACTTGCAATTTAGGAGCAATGCTGGCCTACAAATGTTATCCCTTTCAATATCTTAGTTTTATTTTATCGTATAGTCGCAATTTACAAGTATTCGGGGTATCCTGAAACTGTAAAACTCGGTGTAGTGACAAGGGAATCTTGTACAGACTACATCGGCATAGGCCGTAGAGCTATTAAGTAAACCGGGCCTAAATTAGTGGTTTCGTTTAATTGTTCATCTTGCTTTTATTGCTGACGCAGCGAGCGAGCCTGAAGCGAGCGAGCAAGTCAGCAGTTCTAATTCGTATTAGGCTCTGAGAGTAAGATTTTACTTCCGTTTCTCCGACCAGAATGCATTGCTGTTAACCGACCAAAATGCATTGCTGTTAACTGACCAGAATGTTTTGCATGCATGATGGTATAAATACGGGGAATCTCATTGGTCAGTTTATATAAGCCGGTAACGATGCAGTGGTTTTGGTGTGTTTTTGTATTCATTGTATGGTCTGATGATTTCTGGCTGGTCTTACACTTATGTATATACTGAATTTGCTTATTACAAAAAAATTATAACGCTTGGAAAGCGATTTTCTGTTATTGTGTTCTTCGTCTTATCTTGTTTTCTCTTTTCTTATCTCATTTAGCACTTAGCAGTAAAATCAACATTGTAATTCCACGCCTGAAAGCGTTTCTTTCAAGCGTTAAAAGCGAATAAATTTCATCTCTATTGTTGTCGATCAGTTTGGTATAATTTAAATAGGGTTTTGTGTGTTGATTTTTTGTTCGAATATGATTTGACCGTAAGGTAATTGACATGGAGACATGGCATAATAACGCTCAGATCTTGTATACAGATATTCGTATTTTATTAAAAATCTACCCTTTATCACCACTTTTTTTATTCTTTTATGTTAAAGTATACATAATCCTTGACTTAAAAAGACGACGATCTACTCGAGGAAAATTGGGCAAAGGGGCGATCTTTGCAGAGAAACTTGACCGTTCGGTGAAATTGGTAGTTCAGAGACCCTATTTTCATTGTAGTATTTTCGTGGCAATTTGTTGGCCGATTTCTAGTTTATATTGTAGAACGGGTTCCTAGTGAATTAAATTAATTGTCTATCCTCTACAGAGTAGTAATAATCGCGACTTATTTTTTGTTGACGGACGTTGAATTCATTTTAGACTTTTGTTCATAAACAACAACTACACTACCGAGTACTAAATCACTGTTTGCAAAGAAATGAGCCTATATCATGAGTCAAATAGTTTCCCCATGGGTAAAAGTAGTTTTTCTACAGTGAAAAATAGGGCAAGTACGAATTTAAAGAAGGTAAATTGGAACTTGTATATCTCACTTCGAAAAGGATATACATATTAAAAACAGGTATATTTGCACTGTGAAATTAAACTGCTGGAACAAAGTTTTTATTTCTACTTTCGCGTTCTTATTCCTAAGCAAACACTTCTAAGTTCGAAATGCCAAAAATTGTGAGCGTAGAAACACTAAAAAAACAAGAAAACGACTTCATAACACGAGCAGTTTTGGCAAATTTGATGTTTGTTTTTATAATTTAGTCACGCGATTAACCCGCGCTCACGTGCACTCCACGCCTACGTTTCTCGCGCATGCGTAGACGAATGTCCACCCCGTTTAGGTTGTGGCCTCCTAGCGCCTTCCATGTTTCGGCAAAGGGCATTTGGACATTAGTTAAATACTCAAATGGACAATTGAATGTCCATTTTATTCATTCTAAAACTTTTTATTGACTGTTTGTAGCTACTGATTTATTAAAAAATATATTGATCGTTTATATTAAACACTGCGTATTGTAACGATACAAAATTTTAAAAAATGTTAGAGAATCTACAGAACAGTACAGAATTATAGGACAACTGCATGTATATGGTTTTCCTTTTCTGTCTGCACGAGTATGTTGTTGAACATTCGAAGGCAAAACATTGCACAGTCTTTTCTATATAATTCTATAGCCATAAGTCATTTACCTTGCATGGCCAGCCTTTTATACCTTGCCACGTGAAGAATAACAGATAAGATTTAGCAAAGTATTTTTCTATTATATGGTATAAAGTGTCTTTTCATTTTATCAGGGATGGTATACATGATCCATAAACACTATGTACGCACAAAGTCTGGCACTTATATGGCACTACTTTTATACATTACTTAAGAAATAGAAAACGAGTCGCGTTCGTTTTTGGTGTGATAATGCACGCTGGGGATGTTGGGAGAATGCAAGAAAATCGTGTAAAACACAAGCCTAATGCCTTAAAGCTGAAAAAAATGTTTGAAATGCTGGAAATAAAAACAGTTATACACAGACTAATTTGCCAAAGTTTTTCAGCATCTGGGCTACTGGATTTGCCATGAAAGACGTTAAATCGCAGGCTAGGTTTCCTTGTGTTGCAACTAGTTTTTCTCGAGGTTTGCTCGAGTGCCACAGAATGAGATCACAGTGCATTATTGCGTCACAATTCACGCTATTAGCCAATCAAATTGTCTGTTATATCACACTTATATTATAAGAGATTTTATAAGCATTTTAAAGTTTCTATTGATATATTTTAATAGATTGTTTATCTCCAGTGCGACATAGTCGGATGATAAATGTAAAGGCGATTGATGTCTCACAGCAGCGTGTGTTTATTTAAAACATCCATATATTTCCATATATATGTTATATACACTAGATAGCGCGCAGAGAGACAGAGAGAGCAGTGTATCATTCCTAGATATCGTTAGTATCAAACAATGACAATAAACTAGTACTCCTGTTTCCTACAACTCCACCGACACCATAGCTATCTTCTGTCTCTAGTCCACGCGCAACAAGAATTGGAATATCGAGCCTCGTATAAGACATGAAATGCGCCTCATTTTAAAACTTACCCCTGTGCACCCCTAAGGCGTTAAAATGAACGTTTTTACTTCGTTTAGCTATATCTGTCCATTTTGCCTAACTAATAGGCAGACATTAACAGTACATACTTGTTTCATTAAGAAGTGAGCCGACGTTAATGAAGGTAAGTTTGTTTTAAATATTGATTTTATAATTGCTTTAAAATCCGACGGCCTTTGGGTATATGAAACAAATAAACAAGACAGCATATCGGGCCCCATTTTAGTATATCTTTAATATTGATTCTCTTTTTTATCATATTCAATTTTTTTAAATAGAAAAGAAAGCAAAATTAGTTCCATGCGAGAATTTGAAATCGTTTTATTGCAAACTCAAAGTTTATTGATCAAGCCATTTAATTAATTAGAATAAAGGCAGTTTAGTTTTATAAAGAACACTTTAAAGACTTTTTAAAGTCTAAAAAGAAGCTGTCTCCGTAAAAACCTCCAGGCCAATATGGGGCTCAAAAATAGATTTCTCTCATTATCTAATATTTTGAAGATCTATCCTTAGGAACAACTAAAATCGATTGCGTTTTACTCAAACTTCCTCAAAATTATTTTTGGGGGCGTTTGATGTTCGATCGGCTGGTAACCAACTTGAACTTCGAATGAAGGCAAAATATCGACATATTTTCAGCGCTATTTTTAAAATCAAATTCATACCTAAATTTCAAAATTTTTGCTCAGAAATTTAGACTTATCCTTCTATTTTCGTTGGTGATATGACTTTGATAAATATTCTTTCGTATAAAATAGAATACAGCGCAGTTATTGACCCTCCTGAACGGATAACGGATATCGGCTCAAAATATATCAACTTTGAAAGCTTATTTCAAAATCCTGGCACTTGATTGGCACATGACTTTAACTTTTCTATAAACTACTAACATTAGTCAACACAAATCGCCAATAATATCTTTCTGACCTACCATTCGACAAAAATGACACGCGCGCGATCTTTGTAAAAATTGAAAATGTGTCGAAATCTGGAGTTAGGTAACATCGAGTTGGATTCGAGTTCGAGTTGGGCTTCGAGTTGCACTTCGAGTTGCACTTCGAGTTGCACTTCGAGTTAAACTTCGAGTTGGCTATTTTTCTTTACTTTTCGGGAAAATGACAATTGTATTTCACCCAAATTTTTTTGCTGCGGAGCGAGCGAGCCTGAAGCAAATTTACACATATATTATATATGGGGGAATTTTATCTTAAACCATTGTTTACCATTTTGTTGATGCAACAACATGGCGGTCAACATGTCTGATGCGAGTACCGATGTAAGCACTTGTTATTCAACAAATGATTGCCTAAGTAATCTGAAAACACTACAAATCGACGACAGTAATGGTAAAGATATCATTATTGATGAGAATAGAAAGCTAAAATGGAAGGAGAGCTATGAAGCTCTTAAAGTCTTTGTCAAGAAAACTCTAAAACTAAACGGGAAATGGTCGTCACCCGGAGGCAACTTAAAGTTATTTAACGAGACCACAGGATCAATTATAATCAGGTATTACACCAACTCTGCCTCTCTCTTAATTCAAGGCGAGAAAGGTGAGTCATTTACAAACATTTTGATCAAAAAGCTCTCGACCATACAATCGAATTCAGAGACAAATATTATCGCCGATGATAACTCGTGTGAGCCAGAAAAATCGGAAGAGTCACAAAATATGTACGATGTCTCTATAAGCGAGCAGTCTCAAGATATTTTTACTTTCGACGAGGGTATAATGACCGAGTCAATCAAACAGAAAAATAATAAACACGTCAGCCATACTGAGTCTGACGAAGTAAATTATATAATTGACGATTCACAAACGCCTAATATGGAGCCGCAAACTCTACACAAGAATCAAGAAATAATGACCGAAAATTGTTCGCAAACGATGCCCCAAACCGACACTGCCAATAGTTCAAATGCAGATCTGTTGAAGTATATTTGTTGGCTGGAGGCTAGAATGGAGAAATTATTTGATATTATGTCGGGTGATATGCGTGAACTTAGATCGATTACTGAATTATCATTTGAAATTAGATCTTCTCGTACTTTAAATGAAAATATATTACTCAAAGAAGAGGTAACACATTTGAATGAAAAAATAAAAAACAATCATGTTTGATATCCGACTTGGACACGAAGTTGAAGGAGCTTAACAATGAACGCAGTAGCTTACTAACAGTAATCAGAGTACTACAAGTAGAAAATCAAAACTTTCCTCATTATCAGAGAAAGCAACAAATGGCTAATTTACATGCCAATATTAACCATCCCCCGCAGAGCCAACAAAGCCAACATGTTGCTCCCTCAGCTCATATTAATCAAATCGATCAAAGAAACACCGAGTGGAACTATGCATATGATAACACGCTTGACCAACGACTCATATATCAGACGGAACAACAACAACGTCATCACCAAAATTCTTATAACGAAACACATCAGTCACAGCAACAATCGTACCAGCCAAAACCACAACAGAAACATCAATTGCTACCGCAACATATATATCAGCGACAACATCTGGTGGCTCACTTACATGACCATCATCCCCCACAAAGCCAATATGTAGGCCCCTCTGTCCAGCCTCAAATTAATCAAGAAATCACTGACAGGAACCATGCATATAGTAATACGTTTGATCATCAACCCAGACCCCAGTGGGAACAGGCCGAACAGCAATACATTAGCAACAACAACGATACTCATCAGCTGCAGCAACAATCACATCAGCCGCACCATGATCAGCAACAGCCACCTCAGCAGAAACAAGATCATCAACAGCGGCCTTACAATTACACTTCACTACACAAACAACACCACCACCATCCTAAAAAGCATGCTGGAGAAGATCTCACAATTATCCTAGGAGACTCTTTGACAAGAGGAATCAATACGAGGAACATAAGAAGGTCAACCAGTAAAAATGTAATTATCCGTACTTTTCCTGGGGCAACGGTTAAGGATATGGTAGATTACATTAAACCATCATTGCCTTTACAACCTTCCCATATTATTATCCACGTTGGGACCAACGATCTGAAATCAAGTTAGGTGAAAACCCTAACTGAAAGCATATCCAAGCTCTGTGATGAGATCTATAACTTCAATCCCAAGATCGACATCACACTTTCGCAAATTCTAACTAGAACTGATAGCCCTGGCATTAACGAAAAGGTCGCCCAACTGAATAACCTACTAAAGGGTCTCTGTGAAGCAAGAAACTTGGGTATAATAAGCCACGAAAATATCGATGAAAGAGGCCTAGACAGATTTGGCCTGCACCTTAATAGGTCAGGTAGTGGTATCATGGCAAGAAACTTAATTAACTGTATTCAGCATCTTTAGCAAATCTAAATTATATATCTTAGATGACCTGAATTCCAACCAACCCATGGCAAATATTAATTTAACCGACAACCCTTTTAGTCTAATTCCAATAAAGGGTCTGACTTTCTTCCATTTAAATATTCAGGCTATCACAAATAAATTGGACCAAGTTAAGCTTATGATTTCTGAATCCATAAGGCATAGGAAGAAAAGCAACATTATATTTTGTTTCTCTGAAACTCATTTAAATTCTAACTGGTCTGATGACGGATTGCAAATTAGAGAGTTCAACTTCATTAGGAAGGACCGAACTTATGCCTCAGGTGGAGGTATTCTGATTTATATCCCAGAAACAATTAATTTTCAATATCGCAATGATTTCTCGTTACAAGAAAATAATTATCCGCTTGAATTTATTTGGTTGGAATTTAAGCATCCTAATTCAAAACCCTTCCTGATGGCCATTATGTATCAACCGGGAAATAATACTCTCTGGAGGGATAAATTAAACTATGTATTAGACATGGCTGACAATGAACACAAAGAGATAATTATGTTAGGGGACTTAAACAAAAATTTTCAAGATAAACATTCTTATCAACAACTTCATGTCCTAACATCTCAGTATCAGCTTAAACAACTTATTGATGCAGTTACCAGGCCAATATCAGGTAAAACAATTGACCTTATCTTTACCTCTAAGGAAGATAATGTTATTAAATCAGGCGTGCTAGATATTGGGATGAGTGACCATTTGCCATTTTTTATCTCTAGAAAAATTAATTCCAGGATCTCAATTAAACACGGTTTACATACAACGATTAGTTATCGCAGGAAGAAAGATTTTATTGCGAGTGATTTTGACAATGACCTTGTTGGAGAAATCCCATTAAGCCTTTATGAAATCTTTGATGATCCAAACGATCTAATAGACTGTTGGTACTCTCACTTTATGAAAATTTTGGATAGGCATGCACCTTTAATAAAACGTAGAGTCAGAAATAATAAACTGCCGGGGTGGTTTAATTCTGAAGTACGTTGCTTTAGCCGCAAAAGAGACTATTTCTTAAAGCAATTTCTAAAAACCAAAAACTCTGACACATGGTGTACCTACAAAAAATGGAGAAATAGAACTGTTCATATTATTAAAAAGTCAAAAGAGGACTACTATAAGAACCTCCTGACTGATAATGTACATAATCCACGTCAATTATGGAAAATTCTAAAAGATATCTTGCCGACCAATGACACTGTCTCCCAACTAACGCTTAACATTAATGGCAAGGAGATCAGTGATCCTATTGAGGTTGGCGATCTCTTTAATGAATACTTCTTCTCTATTGCAGACAACTTTGATATCAGTTTACTAAACAACCCAATTAATACTCATTTACCAATTGCAACAAATCATATTAAGTTTACAATTCCACTGATAACAATCGATGACATACTAAATCTTGCAGCCGAACTAGACCAGAACAAGTCAACCGGTCTTGATGGTATTCCTGCCTACTTCATCAAGTCCTCGATTTATTCCATTGCACCCATAATACTTCGCATTTGTAATATGAGCATTAAAAATGGCATCTTTCCCAACATGTGGAAGAAAGCTAGACTGATTCCAATCTATAAAACTGAATCACGCACTGAGAGAAACAATTACAGGCCCATTTCTATATTACCGATTCTATCTAAACTTCTCGAACGACATGTTGCCAACTCAGATGTAAAATTCCTCACAGAAAATGACATTCTATCAAGTTGCCAGCATGGTTTTCAAGCCCATCACTCTTGTGAATCTACTCTAATATTGATCTGTGAACACCTTCTCGATAACATTGAGCAAGGTTTAATTAATGGTATAGCTCTAATTGACCTCTCCAAAGCGTTTGACCTGGTCGATCATAGATTGCTACTGCAGAAATTAGAACAATATGGCATTACTCCAATAGCTTTAAAATGGTTTAAATCGTATCTAAATGATCGTTACCAAGTAGTACAAATTGCATCATCCCTATCCAACCCAGCTCTGATAAAGTCTGGTGTGCCTCAAGGATCTATACTAGGACCAATTCTTTTTCTTATCTTTATTAACGATTTGCCCAGTTACGTTGGAAGTTCTAAGCCTTTTTTATTTGCCGATGACTCTACACTAATATCCTCCGGATCGGACCTTCACGAACTTAGTGTCTCTCTAAAGTCAGATATGACCTCGGTGTCCCGTTGGACTAACCATAACAAAATGTCTCTTAATCCTGGCAAGACAAAAATAATGAAAATATATTCCCAATCCAAATTCCCTGATCTTAGCCCAATAACCATTGAAGTCAATAATAATAATGTTAAGGAGATTACATCCGCCATTTTACTTGGAGTTACATTAGACCAACATCTGAAATGGGATAGGCAAATTAATACCATCTACAATATAATCAATTCTAGACTTTACCTGCTCAAACGTATACGTAGCTATCTCACTTTTCAATCCCGTATTCAATTATATTACGCACTAATCTACCCACACTTGCTATATTGTAGCACAGTCTGGGGCAATGCTAATAACGATCTAATTACGTGCCTACTAAAACTACAGAAACGTGCAGCGAGACTAATTCTTGAGCAGTCAACTGAAGTGCCTTCGATTGTGCTTTTCCGTAAACTCAACTGGATACCTATTTTTAATTTGATAAAAATGAGAAAAATATTATTGGTATTCAATACTTTAAAAACATCTTTAAAAACATGCTGTAATAAATCTTTTTACAGAGATACCTTTTTCATACCATGTACTTCATTGTTTTATTCTTAATTCGAAACAAAAGCACTCGTACCCTAATTTATTATATAGTAGACAGTGAGACACCGAAAAAATACACAGTGAGATATTTTCCATAACTAGATCTCTACCAGTGAAGATATCGATTAAGTGTTCATTTTCTTTGTTATTTTTACTAACGACTATATAATAAAAAGAACATTAAATACACGGTGGCTTGAAGTTTCATCTCGTGGTGAAAGCTGAAACAATATTTTTTACTCACTCAAACGTAAAATTTATATCTTCGCACCGCCTTTAGTCTGCGATAGCAGACTAAATCCCCCCCCTACTGCCCCCCCTCTCCCACTGGAGCTGCGGAGAAACAGCAGACTAATCTCAGAGGCAGTGCCATTCTCGTACCCAGAGCCCTTCTTACGCGCGGTCAACGGAGCGCGACAAGGGGCTCTGGCCAAATCCATATCAAACTGGCATCTGATAGGCTACAACGAAGGTTATTGTTCTAATACCGGATATATTCTATTACCATGTTTTTATGATATCTGGTTATGGATTTGGCCAGGGCCCCTCGTCGCACCGCGCGTAAGAAGGGCTCTGGGTACGAGAATGAGGCAGTGCTCATCAGTCTGCTATCGCATGCTACACCCTGTCTCCGTACCCAGGCATTTCTTTGTAAAAAAACAGCGATGCGCATATGACGAGTTCACATGAAGTATTGTAGTACTACACCGCCGTCTAACATCGGATCCTCTATATAGTACTCTCCTTGACCTTTCAAGACTAATAATGCAACATATCCTCACACGTAGTATTAGGGAGGCTGGACGCGCAGGGGCGGGAATATTAAAAAAGGTAGTCATTTTTAGATTAGGATTGATTAGAGCCAGATTAAGATTAAACCAGGGTTAGAGGTTAGAATGGGGGTTGGGTGGGGGTTAGGGTTCAACTTAATATAAGGCATATCCTTAATCTTTAGAAACCTTTACAATTAAGGATAATCCCTAATACTACGTGTGAGGATATGCAGAATAGTACTGATAGTTTCGAATACATATTTCGAACGAAACAACACTTAAAATGTACAAATTTTAATATATTCTTTTCCAAAATACACATAGTAATTACTGTATAAGATGAACTACAAAGTGCATTATAAAAACGATTTACAATAAAGTAAATTTACATTGCTACGTTTCATTCTGCATACTTTTATAAACGTAATAACACGTGTTTGAAGTAAACATGAATCGGAATTGTTCGGAAATTACCAAAACATTCGGAAACGCCAGTGTATAAGTAACTCGAAGTTTAACTCGAACTCGAACTCGAATCCAACTCGATGTTTCGGAATTCCCGTCGAAATCGAGCATACTTTATCGGTAAACCTAAATGTTGATATTTAACCAATAAAACCACCTTACACTACACTGAATGAAGCTTCATTATGAAAATATATGTCTTTCATCATTATTCTTTGGTTTTGCACTCGAAAAAAATTGTTTGAGTACAGTTTGGCTTCAAGGATAGTCATTCAATGCCGACAGTGTGTCCAGTGTGTTCGAATTCTGCGCGCCTCAATACCATGAGTCCTGATTGTGACATACGAAATTCGCTCAGTTCGCTTTGTTTACCTCCTGTAAATAAAATGTCTCAAAGAAATTAGAAAACTCAGAATTAGTCATACTACAGACATAATTTTCATTGGTTTGTTTACCTTAAACTGTTACATAATGTTTCGTTTTATAGAATGTACGAATTAATCTCGGAGAAAACTGCTGGCTGAAAGAAATGTACTCGCTGAGCGTAAACATGTCAATCAAAGCATATGGTTAATTAATATCAAAGACGATGAAATGTTTCGTTGCTCTCTGATTTCCCTTTCTTTGTATTGCATTAAATTGTAGTCTTAGACAGTATTGCACGAGGTTTTTGTGTTTACAATAATGGTGTTCACTACTACTACAGCCGCAAATTGTAGTCACGCAATGTTTATAGGTAAACCTAAACGATTTCAACAGATAGTAGATTTTATGTTGAAAGATGAGAATAATTACGGTAAGCAATAATGTAGAAATGTTCTTTTTCTACTTCTGAGTGTGGAAAATTCCGAGACACAGTAGACTGTTCTTCGAGGTTGCTGGCGTGTAAGAATGACATTAGTTATCACTTGAAAATTTGTCACCTTTTAAAGCTTGTCGGAAAGAATAATATAAATGAATTCTAATTTTCAGAAGTCTCAGAACCTTTTGTATTGTATCAAAATATTCACATATTTTTATACAATATATAAGAGATAATATAAATTCTTGAAGCTTAGCCTTGAGCAAAATGACGCAAGGTCGGCCTGAAAAGTTGATTTTTTTATACAGAACCGTGACTTATTTGAATTCTAATTTCATTGATAATTTCTAAACCTAGAGACCATTCAGTTGCTAGCAATCTATCCTGCGCGAAACTAACGAAATATTGACATTTGACATCACAGCGAGAATACATTTCTTTCGGCCAGGCCCGGGGTTTTCCCCGAGATTTAATTCGTACATTCGAACGAAATTTTTATAAAAACAGTTTAAAAACGATGAAAATTCCGTCTGTAGTATGACTAATTCTAAGTTTTACAATTTCATTGAACATTGTTGTTAAAGAGGCAAACAAAGGGAACAGAGCGAAGTTTGTATAGTATGTGACAATCAGGACTCGTGGTATTGAGGCGCGTAAAAGACACTGGCATTGAATGACTCTATCCGTGAAGCCAAACTGTACTCAAACAATTTGATTCAAGTGCCAAACGAAAGAATAATGATGAAATACATATATTTACATAACCAAGCTTCATTCAGTGTGGTGTAAGGTGATTTTATCTGTTAATATCAATAATTAGGTTTACCGATAAAGTATGCTCGATTTCGTCACATTTTAAAATTTTACAAAGATTGCGCGCTTGTCATTTTTGTCAAATGGTAGATCAGAAAGATATTATTGGCGATTTGTGTTGACTAATGTTAATAGTTTATAGAAAAGTTAAAGTCATGTGCCAATCAAGTGCCACTTTTTGAAATAAGCTTTCAAAGTTGATATATTTTGAGACGATATCTGTTATCCGTTCAGGAGGGTCAACAACTGCGCTGTTTTCTATGTTATACCAAAGAATAATTATCTAAGTCATATCACCAACAAAAGTAGAAGGATAAATCTATATTTCTGAGCAAAAATTTTGAAATTTAGATATGAATTTTATTTAAAAATTAGCGCTGAAAATATGTCGACATTTTGCCTTCACTCGGAGTTCAAGTTGGTTACCGGCCGATCGAACATCAATCGCCCCCAAAAATAATTTAAAGGAAATTTGAGTAAAATGAAATCTATTTTAGTTGTTCCCAAGGATAGATCTTCAAAATACTAGAGTATGAGAGAAATCTATTTTTGAGCCCCATATTGACCTGGAGGTTTTTACGGAGACAGCCTCTTAAAACGTTTTGGAAAGTGTTTGGTTGAATTTTACCTTAAATTGATGCTTATATTACGTATAATAACCTAACATATATATGTCGGGAAATTGATAATTTTGTAATTAATTTAAAAGTGATATTTGTAAGAGATTTTTCATTTGTAAGAATATTCTTAAGAAATTTTCGTGTTACCATGACAACTACTTTAGACACTTCATGTTCGTAAAATACAATGGTTTTGTCAGAAAGGCGAGGGTTTCTGCATGCATGTACTTTCTGGTATATTCCTGCCTCGTACCCAGGCGCTTTAAATAATTACAATACATGAAGTATTCAGGTAGGTATGCGACGCGCGAAGGGGCTGTTGGGAAGGGTGCGTGCTGGGGAGCGCCTGGCAGTTCTTGTATACTGTCATGGCAGGAAAACATGGAATTTAATACAAAACGTTACCATATTGTCATATACTCTTTGTGTACTCTGTGTATAAAACCTTATTTTTTAAGAGTCGAATTGAACGCCATTGGCAAATAATAATAAATTTGTAGATGTTTGATGACATGCAAAATGCGCGAAAAGTTATGAGTAAATTAATGGCAAGTTTACCGTTCGAATATTTCGAATATGTCATTCGGTATTACATGAAAAATAATAGAATGCTACCAGTTGCTTAGTATAAAATAGTAACAAAGAGATGATTAGAAAGTCATATAATTGCTTTTGTATTAATAACTTCTTTAGCTGAAGGCTCGATCAGTCGATCACAATGCCAATGGCAATTTATATTAAATGTATACTGTAAACAAAAGCCCAAGTAAATAAAAATTCACAGTCGTAAAGTTTGGAATATTTATTACAACAGTGCAATTTTATAGTTTGTACCTTTATATAGTTATAGCTTACAAATCTAGTTCCTGCAAGTGTAGTTCTTCAACGCTTCGGTTGTTGACATGTTAATATTGGAATTTCCATGGACTTTAAATAAGGCATATGTCATACATACCAAGAACAACAGCACGAATTCACGCCCAGATGACAGAAGAATATTAACATTAGTCAATTCAAAAAAAACAAGTAGCAAAAAATCGTAAACGACAACAAAATATCACAACTTGCAAGAAATCGACTTTCTTGCAAGAAATCGACCAAGAACTGCCAGGCGTCTCGCAGTTCAAGTGCACTCTTCCCATCAGCCCCCTTCGCCCATCTATCCCCACTATAATACTTCATGTAAACTCGTCCTTTGTGCATTACTGTTTTTTTACAAAGAGACGCCTGGGTACGAGGCAGGGTATAATCTATAATGTCACCTTCAATGGTTAACCGAATTAAACAAGATTTACCGCGGCGCCTGTGATCGATTTTATATCCAATAATTAAGATCAGCATGCATTTGCAAATTTTATTTTCTTGTTGCTGTTTAGCTGAGCAAAACTAATTACGGATATGTTTGTGACATGAAATGCCTACAAGATACTCTTGGTGAGCTGGTGAAAAAAGGTGAACTGAAATTCTAATTAAAATAAAATAATTCTATGTAATAATTACGTATTTTCTAAAGGAGCCATCCTTAGTGTAATGATATATTAGGTATTTGTTTTATTTTTACATTCCTAATTGTCATTCTAGTCTTTACCCTAGCCCTAAGACCTAAGTCTAACTCAAAAGTTCTTAATCCATCACATTCCTAATCCAACCCTGATTTATCCTAAATCTAACCCTAATCCCCGAGCCGACGGCGCGAAGCGCCGTGCGAGGGTACTAATTTCCCCCGGCTATTTACACTCGTGGAAACGAAAGCATTAACGAAGTCTAAAGTTCATCAATTATCGCGGGCGCTTACCAACGGTGTTGAGTGGGTGGTCAATCACTGATCTCAAAGCCAGGAGTGAAGAAGGCAAAAAATATAAAAAAACACATGTAAGAAAGCTTGGAAAATCGTTTCACATAACAAATTGAACAACTTTTTTGCAATTTGTAAACGTAAACATTGATAAGAATTGATATTGTATGATAAATCCTAAAGTATAGGGCAAGCTTGTTTCAATTGTTTATGTATGACTTTGTATTTAATAATATATACTTTGATCTTGATGTTTAAGTCTTTCCTATGCATTGCTTGCGAAAGTTTCTTAGTTAAATTAACTTTTGTAGAAGTTCATGATAAAAAGGAAAGCAAATTATTTTCATTAGCGTCCTGTACGAATTAAATTCGTTTCATTTCAAAGTGCGAGTAATAAGTTGAAGCTCGAGTTGAGAAGTTTATAAATATCGGCAAGAAGCGGTTAATTTCAATTCACATTTAAAAACGTTTTACGTAGAGTTTCGTTTTGAATTTTACATTAAAATAAAGCCCATAAAAACCAAAATATTATACCTACTTTATATATTTTAGAAATTGATAGTTCTGTATTTAAAAGTGTTCAAATTTCATGTATTTTTTCCCGGTTTGTACAAAAAATTAAAAAAACAATTTTGTGTGGCCATGACTAACATGACGTGGCAACGCGAGCCTGCGTTCAGTGTTGGCGTAATTACGAATACTTCATGTTGAAGCAATATTTGGAAAATATAGGCGAGGGGTTGTTGCATGCACGTATTCTAGTCCTCCCGTACAATGCTACTACCCATCGTTTAATTAATTATAACATTCTTGAACGTTTCTATTTCACATTATTTACAAGCGAATACAATAATAAAAAAATTATGAAAATGAATTAATCTCGACTTAAGCTAAAAATATATACATCAATTGTAATACGACAGTGAACTGACATGGACGCCGCGGAGCTGGAGTGGGGAGGAGGGAGGCATCGCATCCTCTGCTCTTTTCCGGGGCGGGAAATTGGGCAAAGCTGTCATTGATTTTAGGTAAATATTTAAAATATTCCAAAATTATTTAAAATGTTTTTACTTGTTCGCCGAATGAGCCCAAAATCGCGAATCGAAAGACGGTTATTTAGAGGGAAATGTACTTCTATGCAGGCGTCGATTTTGACCAATATACAATTTTGTTAGTTTCGAGAATCAGTACTAATACAATTCTAGAGAATATTGTCGATGGGATTTTTTGTTGATCGGGAGGGGGGCGGTACAGTTTATCAATCCTACCCTTACCCACCTTATATTCTACACAATAACATTAACAAATATAGTATGCAAAATCTGTGCACAAAAGTTTTTCTTAACACTCTATTGTGGCGTCATTTTTGGGATATTTATATGGAATGCCACCTGTTGACCTTCTTTACGTACATTTTTTGAGAAGAATTAATTGTTTCATACCTTGATTGATTATCAATGACTAACGTTTATTAACACAATTACATTTGCAAAAGATTACAAAAGAACTTTACCAAAGCCTGCATCCCCAAATTTGGTTGACGTTGGATGGCAAACGATACATTTGAGCCTTAATACGACAGAATTGGGAAATTACAGTGATCTTTATTATATTTTGGAAGTCAAGCCGCAATGGGGCCTTCAAGAGAGGAATAATGTCTTTGTTGTGTTTCCTTACACAAGGAAATACCACCATGTAAGTGGATTGTGATTTCTTACCCATACTGACAAAAAAGTCCTTTGCAGTATAAAGCATTTCATCTCTTCTTTCAGTACATTACAATAATTGAACTGAATGAAACAAAGTAGTTAATTAAACAAAGAAACGGCACGGGAAGTAAAGAGTAACATGCACACAAGCCCAATTGATATACACTAAAAGACATATTCATAAAGTCATTAAATTTGTTTTCGGTATACATGCATGGTCAATTGCCAAATAATATATGAGGTTTTATTATGTTTTTTAAACACCAGGGGCCGGTTGTACGAAGGTCGTATAGCGCTATCCACCGGATAGTGATTTTTTCAACCATTGTAAAATGCTTGAAAAACTGTGAAACTACGGATATAGACGTCACAAAAAGTATAAAAAATTTAACTGATAAATACTAAACTTTAATACAAGTTATACCAATCAACGACTTATTTAACAAAGCTTTAAAAATCACTATCCAGTGGATAGCGCTATCCGGCTTTCGTACAATCGGCCCCTGACCATCTATGATTCTTTATTTTTTATTTTATTTAACAAACTTTATTGGTGCCATAAATTAATTTAAAATAATTAGTTCAATATCAACTGGCCCAAAAGGGAAGGTGCGAACGAGGCTATATATAGAAGTCCCATGCAAGGCACCTCACTTCTCTAATAAGTAATAACAGATATTTATAAATACATATATATATTATAAAACTATGAAAGTAGCAAAGCGGTCAAACAAGAGCGAATGATGATTTGGAGATCAAGCTATAGTCAACTCTCTTGCATGGAGTGATTAGTTAAGATGCATGGAGTGATTAGTTAAGATGACGCGCGAAACATCATCATTCATTCCTATTTGGAAGCTTTACTTCTAAATAATAGGTTTACTCCATGACCTATGGCAAGAGCAGTCCCGCACCAGACTCCATGTGCACGTCATGTCCACGTGAAATGTTCTGTTCAGCTCTAAACTAAATGTGTTTTTAGCCAACGTTTTAAACGTCGATAAGCTGGAAAAGTTTTGAGAAGTGGAAGTGACCATAATGCTGTTTCAGAGCTTGACTATACGGTTGAAGTACGATCCTTGGAAGGTGCTTGTTCTGTAGGACGGAGATTTTAGAGTTCTCGCTTCGCTTAACCTAGTACGGCCGTGGGTTACAAAGGAAACAAAGTTATTGATATCCAAATTTATATACCCGTGCATCGCCTTGTAAAAGAAAACCAAATCCTTTACTTCGCGATCGTAACATAATGGCAGTGACTTCAAGGTCACCAGTCTTTCCTTGTACGACTGTTCACCTTTTCGTTGCTTGAGGATCCACCTCATTGCCCTTCTTTGAACATTTTCAATTTTGATTTTCAGTGAAGTAAGTGCTGGAGACCAGACATGGGTAGCATAATCGAGGTGGCACTTCACCAGGGAGAGGTACAAGGAACGCCGCACTTTCGTGTTGGTCAGCAAGGGGAATGTCCTACGTAAGAGTCCAAGCATTTTGTTGGCTTTGCACACCTCAACGAGGACTTGTTGATCCCAAGTGAGGTGGTTGGTAATGATATATCCCAGGTCTTTTTCTTTTCTAACGTGGACCAGCGTCGTATTTCCAAGATGGTAATCAAAACATAGTAGATTGCTTTTTCGGGTTACTGTCAATACCTTACACTTCGATGCGTTAAAACTAATATTGTTGTTATGGCTCCATATACTCAGATGATTCAGGGATTGTTGGAGGCTTTCACAGCTACCGAGACAGGATATGCTCTTGTAAAGTTTCGAATCATCAGCATACAGTGCTGTCTGTGACGCATCAGACACAACATTTGGGAAATCGTTGATAAAGATAACGAAAAGTATAGGACCAAGTAAACTTCCTTGAGCAACGCCAGACGTTACAGTCGTCCAATCGGATGCTACACACAGCAAAAAATCATTTTCTTTTTAAGAAAAAAAATCTTAAAATAAGAAAACAATTTTCTTAGTAAGAAAAAATTTTCTTGAAATAAGAAATTTTTGAATCCCAAGATATCTTTTTCTTAAAATAAGAAAAAATTTTCTTAATAAGAAACATTTTCTTAAAATAAGAAAATACGATTTTCTTACTTTCTTAATAAGAAAACATTTTCTTAAAATAAGAAAATACGATTTTCTTACTTTAAGAATATGTTCGTAAGACAAGAAATGAAATTCTTAAAATACAAAGTTATAAAATAGTAAGACATTATTACTTAAATTTTCGAAGCAAGAAAATGTAAAATGCTAGTGTTATAGAACAACTTATATCTTAACAAGACTTAGAATAACGTATATCTTATTGCGTCAGGTAAATTTGTAGTTTTTATTTCGAATTGAAGAGACTATATGACCAGCAGCTCACGGTTGATCAAACACTAAATGGTCGGCAGTACATTGACTATATAGTTAAAGTTGAATCTTCAGTAATCAGTATAAGATAGATAAACCGATCCCCAATCCCAAACCCTTCTCTAACCCTAACCCCTAACCCTAACCTTTTGAGAGTTAGACCGGCTGCCGGTAATATAGTCACTTTATTTCGTTTCCAAAATTTGAGCTCGTTTCAGTTTTATTGAATCGTTGAAGAGAATTTTTGCCTTCCGGAATTTTTATCCAAGCAGGAATAGTTCGCCATAGTTCGCGTATTCACTAAACGCCTGGTACCTAGTTTACCTTTTAGAACGCGGAGCATCGCGGAATAGCGTCGTTTTATATATTTTGTGAAAAATTTGATATAAATATCCATGAGCGCCTTCAAGCGGTCAATTTAAATGGCAAATAACGATGGGAAAAGCATCAGAAAGTCCTTAAAATGTTGTTCAGATACCACAGGTAAGAATAATTGTATATTTGACTTGTTATTGAAACAGATTCATTGCGAAATAATGTAGTGATTGTGACTGTTTACTTGAGCGAAGTGTGAAAATATTCCATTGAATGTTTGAATTTGCCGCGTTTGTTTTGCATATAAAACATGCAAATGTTGCTTTCAGGCAAGGGACGAAAGATTAAAATATAAATTCATATCTATTGTTGTGAATTCCCTACTAATTTACGCACTAATATTAACAATTTGACAATACTAAATTGCCTTTGACATTGGCAGTTAGCTAGACCTTTCAAATGTCAAGACTCAAGGCTATATAGTGATATGAAATAAGATATTATATACATACGGATGTTTTTGAAGATCTGTTAGCATTTTAATACTTGAATAAGGATTGGAATTACAGGAGAATGACAGCATTTAATCTGATATTTTCAGTGTATAGATAGCTGAATAACTGAATTGCATCCTACTTTATTGTTTACTCTGTCTAATGCCAGAGGATTTTCCTACTTGCCTTGCCGGATAACTTGGCTACTGTAGAGAATGTTTAGTTTTCCCGACTTACTATACTTCACCCGGGAAACTCCGCAACCCTAGATAGAATGTATATGCCTTTCATTTAAAATAATAGCCCAAAAATACATACAAATCATTAGGTATATTTATAGCTTTCCTCTATTTCTAGAAGCTTATTCTTGCCTATTTTGTAATCATGTTTTTTAAACCTTTTGAATGATCCAAATTGTGTTTGTATTTTGTCATTGCGCAGCAATAATGGGGTAACTTGATTTCATATAAATAGACTGCTTTTTTGTCCAGCCTGAGTAACTCACATTGCCGGGTAACTCGCCTACTGATGTACTGATATCCATATTGGTGTATCAGTCATCTTTGAATTTCGTGAAATGACATGTATTATCGGTATCGGCAAATTTCCATATATCGGTGCATCACTAAAACAGTTCAAGATTGTGTTTATATGAGAAAATGCCATCCTGCTCGCCGGGACAATTTTGTTATGTTGACATTGTTTTGACAGTTGTTAAAAATAGGTTGCAGCTCGGCATCTTGAACATTCATCCTGGCCCAGCCTGCTTGTGAGTGCATATGTGGAGAAATTTTCATCCCAATAAGCAACATTGTGGATCCATATAAACGCATGATAATTTTTTCTAGATAAATATACCTAAGGCAGTAAGATCTTGCTTACCGGGCAGTCCCGCTAAGCAGTCCAGCCCAGCTTCCATATAAATACATTGTACAGCTGGTTTAAAGAACCATGAACAGCAACCAGAAGTAAACTATACTGTCAGTAACTGTGTGATATGGTATTGGATAAATTTTCATCCCAATAAGCAACATTGTAGCATCAGAGCCAGCCTGCTTGTGGATCCATATAAACACATGATAATTTTTTCTAGATAAATATACCTAATGCAGTAAGATCTTGCTTACCGGGCTGTCCCGCTAAGCGGTCCAGCCCAGCTTCCATATAAATACATTGTACAGCTGGTTTAAAAGAACCATGAACAGCAACCGGAAGTAAACTATACTGTCAGTAACTGTGTGATATGGTATTGGACAAATTATTACATTTCTTAATATTGCAGCTTTGGTGCGTGAATAAGGGATAATAGTCTACTGGGCACTTGCCACAAGAAAATGATAACTGAATCCAGGACATCTGTATCTGCCTACAGCCATGTCTCTGCTTAATAAAATTTATATAAAACATATGTAGTTTAATACTCCCTCATTCGTCTTCTACCAATATGAACAGGTGATTGGCCGATTATAACATTAAACAATAAACCCTTTGTATCAGATAAGAATGATATTATATTATAAATAATATTAAATTAATTATATTAATGAATTATATTATAAATGAATTATATTATAAATAATAAGTCATAAAATTAATACTCGTCTGTCTTTTTAACATAGACAGATTTTCATATTTTTTACTGTGGTGCATGGTGCCAGAAATTTTAGGGGGGGGGGGGGAAGCCGTGAGCAGGTGACTGAAGCATCAAAAAGTGTTACCATACCCCAGTAAGGTCTATATTCTAGAGGTGGAGCACTAGAGATGTGAGGGGGAGTCTAGAGAGCAGAAAACAAAGTATCCTTGGAGAAATTTAAAAAAAATCATGATTCCTAGCTTTGAAAAAGTTTTTTGAAGTGGTCATATCAATGGATTTGGCATGTCCGATTGTCTGATGAGACCATAGGTAACCCAACAGTCAATGGTATTAATTCATTTCTGTTCAATAAAATCATACTACTACTCAGTCCCCGACTGCATTGTTTACGCGCGGTCAGATCATGCACGTATCCCTATAGTAATATATGCTGTTGTTTTCGGCAAAAATTGACTGGCAGTTTAGTGAAAGTATCTGAGCTTACTTTTATGTTGTTTAGTTTGTGTTTTATTGCGTGTTTTTAAAGTTTTTGTGCTATTTCTCCAGGGCTACGTGCGTATATAGAAATTTAGCTGCCAACCTTAGCATATATTACTATAGGGATACGTACATGATCTGACCGCGCGTAAACAATGCAGTCGGGGACTGAGTAGTAGTATGATTTTATTGAACAGAAATGAATTAATACCACTGATTGTTGGGTTACCTATGATGAGACTTGGGAGTGTTAAACGTAAAATGAACCTAATAGGCCAATACACAATATGCTTTTACCAGTTTTATAAAGTCATTGACATTGTGTCGTTTGAATCCGAATACATTTTATGATGCAACTCCGATGTAAATAATAATTGGGGCATAAAGATTAAATCTAGGCAAGTCTATTTCCTAAAAGAATTAAAAACTAAAAATAATGTTCATAAAAAATCCAAATGTTCCTTCCGAGCAAGCTATTTGCATGAGAAGGCACTGCAAACTCTATTCAGGGGAGATAATAGTGTTTCAAAACTTTACAATTGCTCCAATAAACCAGTGAATGCACTGTCTTTTTCTATTTGAGTGTACTCCTACGTTTATTTTATATCATCAACACTCGGCATGTTGGAGTGGACTATTTAATTATTTTTTATTATGCCAAATGTTGGGAAGGGGGGTGTTGAAATAGTTTTTTGGAGGGGTGGTCATTTTGTTTTGGGGAGGAGTTATAGCTAATATTAGGGGGGGGTGTGCTTTAGGGAGGGGGGTAGCACCACACACACCACAAAATCCGTCTATGCTTTTTAATCTAGTTAACTTAGGTAACTGAGGAGTGATTCAGATTAGCAAGCAAGTCTCCAGGTCTATTGTTCTTGCAATTTTGTATATATATATAGCTATTTCAATTAAGGTTGTCCCCCAAGCAAAGCAGAAAAGTCGAATACAAGCGCGAAAGGCTGCTGAAAATCGCTAATAAATTCATTTATATTTCTGTATACACCACATATAATACTTAGAGTGATGCTTACATTCTCAATATGTAAGTAAACTTTTACAGATTACTAGCTGTATAAGGATGTATATATAATGGTCTCCAGTGGCATTTGCATGATGTGTTTGGAACAATGTTTAATGTGCATTATAAAGAAATCTATGGACTTTGAACAAACGGTTTGTCAGATAATATTGCTTGTCATGTGGAAAGAGTTGAAAAATTACTGCTTCAGGTCTTCAGGAGAACTTAAATTTGCTACAACACATTCCTGTGCAATCAGAACTACACCTAGTTGTGTAACAGTGCAGCTGAAAAAAGAACTTGTATAAATTGACATTAATTTGATGTTTTGTATGTTACTCTGAGTGTATATCCACACCGGGCAGGCTAAATGGGAATCGAACCCGCAACCTTTGGGATACTAGTCCAATGCTATGCTAACTGCATTATACACTCAGAGTAACATCAAAAACAATATTCACCTGAGTACCTGTACATATAAACACCCAAACAACACATTCTTAATAAGAAAATTCTTTTTAAGAAAAATTTCTTGATTTGAGAAATTATTTTCTTAAAATAAGAAATTATTTTCTTATTTTAAGAAAATTTTCTTATTTCAAGAATTTTTTTTCTTGGGAGAATAACAAGAAAATTTTCTTAATAAGGAAATTCTTTTTAAGAAAAATTTCTTGTTTTAAGAAATTATTTTCTTAAAATAAGAAATTATTTTCTTATTTTAAGAAAATTTTCTTATTTCAAGAAAACTTTTTTCTTGGGAGAATAACAAGAAAATTTTCTTATTAAGAAAAAAAAATTCTTGATTTGAGAAAATATTTTCTTAAAATAAAATATTTTCTCAATTTAAGAATTTTCTCTCAAGAAAATTTTCTTAATAAGAAAAATTTTCTTAAGAAAATTTTCTTATTAAGAAAATTTTCTTGTTATTCTCCGAAGAAAATATTTTCTTATTTCAAGAAAATTTTCTTGTTATTCTCCCAAGAAAATATTTTCTTATTTCAAGAAAATTTTCTTAAAACAAGTTTTTTTTTTCTTAAAATAAGAAAATGATTTTTTGCTGTGAAGATCGACGGTTTCTGCTTATTTTTAAGGTAAGTAATATAACCACTCAGCACAGCATTGAACAAAAGAGTTGGTTAAAATTATTGGGTACCACTTTTCAGGATTATCCATGCTTTTGGGTTCTTCATGTTAACGATCTACTATCCAAGGCCAGCGGGCGTATGTATATATTAAGGGGATGTAGGTGCTATGGATACTCCAGAGCTCACCTAAGCAAATTATTTGAATCACTAATTATGACATTATTTTACGAT